AAGTCAGCAATACCTCTTCGGAGGGGGCCTTTCTGATCTTGCAGTCGTAGTCCCAGGGCCGCCCGTCCCCGGCAAATTCCCCAGCGTGCATGCGGTCAATGGCTGCCTGGTACATGACAGCTGCACCACAATTTGCATCGTGCAGCAATTGGGGTATGTCCCGACTGTTCTTCACTGGTCTCCAAGTCACGTTCTCAAGGAGAGTGTGATACGTTTGTGTAAAGTGGGACAATGCCTCCTCGTCCACGCAAATGGACATGTCCTTGGCGTCCTCCAACCGCTGAAGACTGGTAACCCGCATGCGCTCCAAAGCCAAGATGTCTGTCAAGTTTGCCTGGGATCGCTTGAGGGGCCCTCGTGGCAACTCCGGCTTAAATGACTGAGGTGTACGTTACATCTTAACAAGAAGCGTTCTCAATCTACCCTTGTCGCCGTGTAGGTAGAAGTCAGCACAAGCATGCCAAAAGCAAAGCCCCAACCTGCGATCTTGCATGAGACCCTGTTGGAACTTCCAAAGGACCGTTGACACCCAAAAAGGTCCAGCAGGTCGTGTGCGCTTGGGTGAAGGGCCTCAGGAGGGCTCGGGTTGACCTGCTCTAAGTGGCGCCCGGCCAGAAAGCACAAGGCGGAAAGCAGGATAAAGATTCCAATGGCCGCCCAGGCCCAAACTGTGAAGGGTTTGAAGGGCCTCAACAGGATTGCCCAACCCCCCTCCGTCCGTGGCTTCGCGGCTTGTACCAGGTAGAACATGTCGAAGCGCACGGGAGGCAGGAACTGAACGATGGCGCTTCGGCACGGCGTGATCCACATGTCTGCGACGCAGAGGTCGAACTTCCCCACCGCTACATCATGGACACAGTGGCTGTAGCCAGAGTTGCAAACAAAGCAACCCGACTCATCTTGGGAACAGCTGGAGCCCGTGGATGCTGGCAACTCCTCCCAGTAGGATTGGTCGGTGGGATTCAAGATGGGGATTGAGACGTTCATCTGCGAGTGTTTCGCTCTTTCGGAGGAGTTGATGAAATCAAACTCGATGAAGGATTTCTTAGCGAGCTCTTGCAGCATCCTGGGCCGTTCTCCGTGCTCAACATATAAAAACGACAACCAGATCCACCGAAACCCACAGAACAGGGTCCCTATAGAAAAAGTGGATTTGGGAGCTCCAAAAAAGTCTAACAATGTTGGATTAGGGTTTAGAGCTTGGGCTACTGGGTTGTCTACAAAGGGGACCGAACTTCTTTTCTAGAGCTCAGCCCAACGGCTCGTTCGGGTACTTTTTCCTGGGATCAACGGCAGCTTGCACTTCGAGGTTGGCCATCCATTTCTCGAAGCGGGTCTCCTTGAAAGGATCTATACGGGGTTTAGGGTTCCTTTAAGGGATCTGCAAGTTTAGGGGTTTAGGGCTTAGGGGTTTAGGGGGCTCTTTAAGCTCTTTTTTGGGGGGCTCAGAACCAGGCAGGCACCCCGTGAAGCGGCTCGAAGGATTCATGGGGTTTAGGCTGGCAGGCAGTCCCCTAAGGCTCAAAAACCTATGAGTTCTGTTAAGCCCGGCTTCGTTGTAGCTGCCCAAGGCCCCGCAGGTCTCATAGCTGAACCTCACGTTGGGCTTGTCGACTCTCTTTAGGGCGTCTGGCTGAGCAACACCTCATCTTCGTGGAGTTTATGATTTTGGGTCTAGAGTCTCGGGGTTAGGGTCGTTCGAAACGCATACAGAAAGCGGGGTTAGGGTCTGCATCTCCATCACTCACGCCGACTCCTCACAGACGATGGCACGACTCACCCAAAGCCACATGGGATCCGAACCTGAGCCCCAAAACTACCGCAAAGACCCTACTTCACGCGAAATCTGCGGGGAACATCACCGACGAGTCGTTGACGTACATGCTCTCATAGCGGGGCCGCTCACGACAATGCGGGGAAGCCCGGGAGCCCCGGCGCCTGGGTTGCCGCTGGCAGGCGAAGTATTAGGGTTCAGGGTTGAGGGTTTTTAGGGTTTAGGGTTTAGGCTATCATGCTGCTACCGAGCTGGAGTTGAGATGCACGTGATGTAAGAAAAAGTGCTAGTCTCTTCCTTTCCCACTCGACTCCCTTTGAGTTTCCCTTAAAGCAACCCAGACGCAGGTGATCTTCCTTGCACTTATGCTCATTCACTTTGCAGGCCTCGATGTCCACCTGAGCGTGTCCACAATAAACTGCATTCCGGCAAGCCACACAATAAAACTAGAAAATGTTTCCAAGGGCAAGCTGGCCGCGTAACACCACGGCTGCTTGCATGAAAGAGGATACTTGTCGCACTCCGTCGCATTATTGTACACCTTGCAGCACATACCTACTTCCTGAGATTCCAGCCATCAAAGCAAACCTTTTGTGGATACTGTTGGGCGAAATGCTCTCTGGCCATCGGGCCGTTGGCAGTTTCCAAAAAACAGCGTCACCCTGTACACCCCCAAATGAAAAGATATCTATGTAAGTCCCTATTACAAGGATCCCTGTGAGCATCCAGCCTGGCAGCCGTTCGTGCCTTTCGACTCGTTGAGCTTTTTCGACCTCAACATTCCGAGCACCGCATTGTAGCCGTTGACGTTCCTCAGGCGCGCGCGCCAAAAGCTCTGCAAAGCTGCGAAGCTTCTTGCTTAAAGAAGTAGCTGTACGTACGGGTGCGGCCAGCCGCGCGCGCAGCTCCCTCACCAAAACGAACACAAAAGCTTCTTGCTTGACCCCCAATCAAAAGCTGCCGCCGAGGTTCTTAGATTCATTCGTCAGGCACG